ATATAATAAATCCTTTATTGACCAAGCTTGTTTGGTCAAGATGGCTGGATATTGGCCTCGTTCTTTTTTTGCGAGTTTATGGACCGAGACGGAGTCTCTGTCCATAAACTCGCAAAAAAAGAACTTGGCCAATATCCAGCCATCTTGACCTCACACTTGGTCAATAACCCATATATAAAGAAACAAGTATGGCTAAGGATGGAGAAGATTGACACGGATCACAAACGAAGAACTTAAAAAAATTGAGACCAAACTTTTCAGATGAGAAACCGTGACGAAGCTGCAACTTTAATGTGTCAAATAAGATTTAGCACTGCTGCTAACTGGAAACACCAAAAATGAGTTAGCCTTATAAAAACTAATCATAATATAACATAAAAAAGAGATAATGATTATAATAATAATTAATCATAATTAAAAAATAGAATAGACTAAACTCAGCTATGACGCGGTCCCTTTCAGAACCCAGACAGGGATGGCGGAGTATGTTTTGAATTGGGGGGGATTACAAGCAAGCGCCAGAGGCGCTAACTTGTAGGGGGTCCGGGAGATATTTGTAAAATTATTTTTTTTTGTAGTTTTTGCTTGAAATCGGGGGAGGAGGGGGGGAACTGAAGCCCCCCCAGTCCCCCGGCTCCGCCGTCCCTGCCAGGTCTTTTTTGAAACAAAGACGTCATGATATACAGTCACGTATGCTAAACATCGTAAAATTGTAACATAGCTATCCATGGATCATGACACAAGAACGCCGGAAAGATATAACAGAGCAACTGATTCTAAATAAACTTGCCATTTTGCTTTCAGACAAACACAATTGTTTACGTGACCATACTCTCCTGTTTGTGGCCTTTGACTTGGAAGAGAGCCAGCCAACTTGCAATGTTAGCTGCTCGGGGTCTGGGAACTGCTCGTGCGCAGGTGGATTATGTGGCAGCGGTTATTTTGTCCAAAACTTGACTGAGTATCTCAATAGCACTGGCTCGAGTTTCCAAGGAGCGGTCATTTTAGACACCGTGCTCAATTATGATGACAATCCAAATTCTCAAATGCTGCCCGCGGGTTTCAGCTTCGGATTTCCGCAAGAGTACCAAGAAATGTCACAAAATCAATTCAGAGGAGACTTCTTATCTGTGATTGGTCGAGCACAGGATGATGCACAGCTCGTCAGCCGGATTACCAATTTTTTCAAAAAGGACGGTTAGTTCAAGTTTGTGTCAATCAGATATAAAGAGGAGCAGGGGGAGGGAGGGGATGGAAATCCCGTACTGACAAGTTTGTTTAGGGCCATCTTGGTATTTGGGTTAGACTTTTCAATTCAGTAAGTGATCCAGAGCTTCCCAGGAGAGAAACAGATAAGAACGGAGGCCTTGGC